GGTTTCCTTGAGACCACGGGTGTCCTCGGGGAAAGCTGCCGGTGTTTTTCCCGCCTAGCGAAGCTTCGCTTTTCTTGCTTTGCATGTGCTTGTGTGGGGTTTCATCAGCGTTGTAGCGGAGCTCTGTGGCCACAGAGCTTCCCCTCTCTCCTCAAGTAGGGCTGCAATTCATTTTGTTTGGGCGGAGGAGTTAAGTAATTGCTGAATAACCTGTTTTTTTTAAGCCCTGCCGTCGTCTCTGTGGCTGTGTGTCGCCTGCGTGGAGGGCCAAGTCGTGTTCGTCCGGTGCTTTCCTCAGGTGCTTCCCCGTCTGCCCTCAGCGGCTGTCCCACCGGGCCCCCTCACACATCAGTTGTCCGTAGGGTTGGTATCGACACGGAGATGCTGAAAACCCTCTTCTGCTTATGCAGGATAGTCTTTGTTGTTGTTGTCTGTTCTGCAGGACGTGAACCAGTTATTTTTCCGTATTTTATTTGATGCTGACCGGGTCATCTGCACTGCTAAATACTGTGATAAGAATGACATGTTTTCCCCGCTGTTTTTTTACCTCTTCCTCCTATCAACTTCTGCTAATGAATTGATTTTGTTGCTCGAATCATATTGCTGAAATGCAAGTGCGCTGACTGATGGTAACAAGTTTAAAGTGACTTAGAAGCTTTTAGTGCTGTTTTTCTTCATGACACCTATCTCAGCATTCTGTTGGTGCAATCATGCATAACACATTTCCAGTGTCCCCTTCTTTATAAGAAACACAGTATTTTGTTTTATCTTGAGCTTGCCTTAGGACACCATTGCTGGGCTTCCATTAAATCTGGTTGCTGTCAGCTGGGATGTGTAGTTTGGATCAGAGAATACCTTTTGAGAAGTGATTTAGAAAGGCTAATCTCTATCGTGACTTGGATAGGTTAATGTAAAGCCCCGGTAGCTTGGCTGTGCTCTAAGCTGATTTGTGGGCCTCAGTTGGCTTAAGATTTTAGCTCCTGGGAAGGGTAATTTGGAACCTGTAGAATGGTTGGATGTTGCTTTGAAAGGAAGCCCCTCAATAAAGGAATAAGCAATGGAAATAAAGTTATACCTTTTATAAATGGTATGCCTTTTTCAGGTCTGAGTGTGACCTCCCACATGAAATAAATGGAACAAATAGCATGATTTGCCAGCAATAGTCTGTGATACTAGCCACAAAAATCACTGGAGAAGGTAGAAGTGGGCCAAACTTTTTTTTTTTCCCATAATTTATAGTTCAAGTGCTGTTGATTCATGCTAAGAAGGGTGATAAATGTGGACGCTTTGACATATTCTTAAGATTGCACTGATAACTAGCAAAACTTTATATTCATAGAGTTGATATAATCATAAATCAAGTAGTCAGGTTCCTAGGCTGCTGCGTGAGCTGTGTTGCGTTTTTCACTCAAATGATGCAGTGGTAATTTTATGAGATGGAAGAACCTTCCTGTCTGAGGGCTGCGAGACAAGATTTATTCTGAAACCTAACACGGGGCTTCAGAAACCTAACATTGTAGTGTTAAGTTTAATTTTCAGTTGCAGCTAATTTTGTTTATGAACAAAAAGTGTTGCTACCCTTGACAGTATGACTAATGTGAGATACCAGAATTGCAGCCTTCATTTAACCAAGTGGTACTTCAGCTTTCTAACAGCAGAAATTCTCACTTCTATACAGTCAACGGAATTTGGAAAAAGTTACTTTTTTGGTGGAACTTTTAAAAATGGAACTCATACATAGAGTTATTGCACCCACTTGTGGAGAAGATGAAAACTACAGAAGTTGAGATGGATGAGTCTTCCTCTCTCCCCTTTTCACCTATTTTAGATTTTATTGATAATTCTAACCACTGAAGCTGTATAATTTTTGTTAAGTTGCAAGCCACCCTTGAATCTCTCTGCTGCAGAAGAGAGCAAGCTGTGTTGAAAAGAGCTTCTACCAGGAGATGAGGTTCTAGTGTGTATTTGTAACTGATATAGGTAAATATTAATACTGTTGTAGAAGCTGTTACTATAGCTGCTTGTGGGATTTAGGATACAATTGGGGTAATACACGTTTGAGAAAGATACGCTGACACTTGCAAGCTTATTTTGGATAAGTATGATCAATGGAACAGGACTGCCTGTGAGGGGATGGTTTAACAAGGATACGGTTCGCTGTCTGCTCTCTTGATATGTTTATATTGTGAATCAAAAATACTATAATTCTTTCCAAACATAGGTGGATTTGTTGTAGCTAGGTATGTGAGGTTTTTATATTTTTAAAGCTGGTTAGTTTGGGTGTCACACAGAGCCTCCTTTGACTGTTTCCTCTGGATGATGAGGAACCTCTTGGAATTGCTATGCTGGGCTGTGCTTCTTTTGCCTAAGTTTGGTGGAAATCCTGATCTTGTATCTTAGAGCCACAGCAAGATACCACGGCTGTTGTCCAGGTACAGCTCTTCAATTCTAAGTGAAGAGAGTTTGAGACATTTCTGGCTCAAGAACAAATGGTAAACAGCTAACTGAACTAATCTGGGATAGAAATTGGAAGATAAGCAAGTGAAGTTCTAGAACAGTTTTTCATCAAGTGGTAATAAGGTAGATAGTAAACCTCTAAGATTTTCGAAAGAACGGAATGGGATTTAATAAATCAGGGTTCCTTTTTAGGATTTATGTTACATAAAGACAATTTGAATGATTGACCACTATGACCTATTTCATCCAACAAGATTGTCTTAAGAAAGAACCTGCCCTGTGTACACTTGGAGGAAACAGTTTTATATATGTTAGTTTTAATCCTGCTGATAACCAGAAATATTTTGTACTACCTATTTCTCCTAACTACTTTGTGCAATTAAATGCAAAACTTATGTGTAAGGGAGCTGATGTTTCTGCATGCTCTTAAGTGTTTCACAAATGTGCAGTAGAAAGGGTTGTCGAGCATTGGAACAGGCTGCCCAGGGAAGTGGTGGATTCACCATCCCTGGAGGTATTTAAAAGACAGGTAGATGTGGTGCTTAGAGACACGGTTTAGTGGTGGTGTTGGCAGTGTTAGGTTGATGGTTGGACTAGATGATCTTAAAGGTCCTTCCAACCTAGAAAATTCTATGATTCTATAAAAGCATAAAGATGAAAGTGCTAAAACTGGGTATGACAGAGAAGGTGGTCACTCACTTCTGGTACTGTTCATTGCTAGAGATCTCACAGAGCCTTACTAAACCCTATTTTAAGTCAACAGAAAGATTCCTGTTGACTTTACAAAAAGTTTATGACCATCAACACTAAGAGTGATTGAGATGTTTAAGATTACCTCATCTCTCATGGTGTTTAAACTGGTTTGCTTCTTTGTACTGTCCTTTTGCTTATGATCATGCTGATTTTTGGGACTTCAGTATTACAACTTAATATCAGAGTTGAGCTTCCTTGGAATAAGGGTTTCTGTGCTGAAAGTGCCCCGTAGCTCCACAGTGAGACAGGGAACTAATGGTGAACCTCTGAACACATCATAATTTCCTGCTGCCTGGTGTGCCTTTCAGCTAGAAATGGTTTGAGAGAACAATCTTCTCTTCCTAGGGAGCGTGAGGATGTGGGCTGAGGCATTGAGCTGCAGGTGTAGAGTGGGGCTTTGGGCACATATTCAACTGCCTTTTGCATGGCGTTATCCACATCATTCCCAGTAAGAGAGGCTGACACGCTTTGGTCACACTAACTCCACGTGCCACCTAGACTTGCAACACATGGGTGACTTTTTGACCTTGTTTTTTTGGGGAAGGATTGAGTCATTTACGTGTTTGTTTCTGATGTGTGTAAGGTGTCAGTAGGTTCTAGTTCTGATTCTTTCTCAATAGCAGACAGTTTTTACTCCTGCAGTCCTCTTGGTATAAGATATTTTTTTTCTGCTTTCACAGGGGAGTGCATAGTCATGTTGTGGTAATGCTGTGTTGACAGAGCACTTCATCCAGATCAGAATGAAACAATTTGTCTAAAATGGATCACTTTTGTCTCTGCATGTGTCTGACCTTTGAATAGTTTAGGAGGGTGTCTTCAGCCAGCATAGCTACTCGGCAGCTGAT